AATTTATTCAAAAACGATTTCAAACATTAGAAAATTTGCAGAAAAACCAATTGTGAATAAAGTTAAGGGTGTTCAACATCAAAACAATGCACGTAATTTTGTTGTGAAATCCAAGTGTGATAAATGTCATTTGTGTGGTTCAAGTTCATTTTAAAGATGTCCCCAAAGCTCAGATTTGATGTGGTTAAGAAAAATAAACTTTGCATTAATTGCTTACATGATTCTCATAAATTGCAGTCGTGCTCCTCGAGATATTCTTGTAAATATTGTCACTCTCAGCATAGTTACTTACTGCACAGTAAGGGAAATAGTTATAGACAAACGGAAGCTTATTCACCAAATGCGGAACTACCGACAGTTGAAGATTCACAGACACCAGTTTCTCTTTCGAATTATCAAAACGTAAACTATCTTTCTCTTTCGAATAGTAATAAAGTACACCATATCTTTGCTACTACTATCCAAAACAAAACTATAATTCTTGCAACTGCTCTCGCTTGGATTTGAAACCATGGGAGTGACTGTTCTGTTAAAGGACATGTATTGCTGGATAATGGCAGTGTGGTAAACCTAATGACTTAAGAATTCGTAAACAAATTAGAATTGTAAAAATAAAAAATAAACCTCCTAATTAGTAAGTTAGTGGGTTAGGAGGAAATGAAACAAATGCAAAATATGAATTGAATGTTCTTGTTTCTAATAAAAATTAAATGCAAAATATGAATTGAATGTTCTTGTTTCTAATAATAATTCATCCTTTTCGCTTGACACTATTTCGCTTATTTTATTTTGTTGTAAAAAAATAACAGATTTCGTTCCATCTACCACTTAGAAATAAGAGAATATTAATAATCCTAATCGTACAATATTAGCAGATGCTTCATTTGCTAATCCAGGAAAATTAGATATGATTTTAGGTGTTGAACATTTCTTTAAAATCATTAAAGAAAATAAACATCGCACATCGGGAAATACAACATTTCAAGATTCAGTTTTCGCTTTTATTGCCAGCTGTTTACAGGAATCTAAAAGTCCCAAAACAATGTTGTAATCCAATTTCTCAAGAAGAAAACATTGAAAATTGTATTAAGAAATTTTGGGAGATCGGAGAAATAGATAACTCATGAATTTTGAGCAAAGAAAAAGAATTTTTCGAAAGTTACTTTCAAAATACCTATAAAAGAATTGAAAGGTTAAAATGCCTATTCGTGGAGAAGTTCTCGAAACTTTAGGTGAATCTCGTTATATAGCACAAAAACGCTTGAATCAAACCCTTAGAAGTTTGAACACAGATCTTGAAATAAAAAGCTTTATTGTGAGTTTATGAACAAATGTGGAAACTTAAATCATATGGAAAAGATTAGAGATGATGTTTCACCGTCTGTATCATATTATATGCCCCATCATGGAGTTTTCCGTCCATACAAACCTTACACTAGATTAAAAGTTGTGTTCACGCCTACCTCGACAGCTCAAATCTTAAATGACATATTGTTAACTGAGGAGGTAAAAGAAAACGTTTTTGAATTGATTGTTCGATTTCGCAAGCACAAGATTGCTTTGACAATTTAGAAAGATGTTTCGCTAAATATTAATCGATTCCTCTCAAAGAAATTTGTTGAGAATTATGTGGAAAACTCAAATGGACCAATTGCCAACAGTTTTCAGAATGAATACAATTATCCACCATTTCTCGCCATTCGAGCATTGAAATAGTTAGCTATGAAAGAACAATTTAACCCTCTTGCCTCAAAAGTTATATTATATGAATATTTAGTTCAGTATATTTATGAATATTTAGTAAATATGAATATTTAGTTTAGTTAGTTGGTGAATATTTAGTTACCGGATCTCCACAGATCTTCAATCAGCTTAAGAATTAATGACTCAATTGATAGAAATGTTTAATAGTTATGACCTGTGTTTTTCTGGACCATCGAATTTGGATCTTCAAGAGACAGAGCTTAGTGAAACTTTGGACCGGGAACTTTATGAATGTGAACTGAAACAATCATCTGACATAACTCTAACTTTGACTTAGAACATAGATTTCGTTAACAGTTTTCCTGTTACAAGTATAAAATTTGTAAAACTATTTTATGTCTTACGTTTAATTTATAGGTTCATTTCTAATTGTCGGAATGGTAAAAAGGATGCTTGACTCCATTAATCGAGAGAAATTTCAACATTTCAAGCTTCGTATAGTAAACTTTAGTACAGGTAATTGTATTTAGAAAGGAGATAAATACCCTAATAAATCATGAAAAGTTGAAGGATAGTCTCGTAAGTAATTTAAATCCTTTTCCAGATACCAATGGATTAGTTAGGGTAAAAGGGAGAATAAACAATTCTAGTTTATCTTATGATCAAAAGCACCCCTTATTAATCCTTAAAGATCATAAACTAATCACTTTAATTTTTCAACATTTTCATTTAAAAATTTGCACGCTGGTGCGCAAACTTTGCTTCATAGTGTAAAACAAGAGTTTTGGCAATTAAGTGGAAGAAACACTGTCTGAAAAATAGTTCATAATTGTATAATACGTTTCAGCAATTGAACAACAAATAACTGCCACGTTACCTAAAGAAAGAGTTACCATTTTCATTATTCACCCATTTTCGAAAACTGGCATCAACTTGTGTGGTCTTTTTCTTATTAAGTATAAAAATCAACGGAAAAGAGTTTTAAAAAAATATATGCAGTTATTTTTGTGTGTTTAATTTCCCGCTCTATTTATTTGGAAATAGCCAGTGAAGTGCCGAAGCCTTAATTGCAACCCTTAAGCAGCTTTTCGCGAGAAGAGGTATACCTTCCGTTATATTTTCAGATAATACAACGCATTTTATTGGAGTTAATTTTATAACCCTCATTAGAGAGCTGAGCCAATTTTTTGGATTTACTATGACTAATGTTCAACTGCGTAGTCTTGTAATTTTGAACCCAATAAAGAAGACAAGGGAACTCATGAATCAAGTATTGGGAGAAATTTGACTTTGTGGAGGACTTTTTGATTGAACTAAACCAAATTTTGCTTTTCATAGAGAAGAAAAGCACGAAAACCTCCCACGATAAGCCTGATGGCAAAAGGACTCTAACCATAATCCGTCTACCACTGATGATATTTTACGTCATCTGCACTGCGGTCAGTGCAAACCAGAGGCGGAATTCTTTTCAACCATCCAAAGCTGGGATTCGAACTCGGTTCACCTCATTAAAAGGCAAAAACTTTATCCTTTGAGCTGTCACGGTTCGCTAATTTTATAGTTTGGAAATTGTACGATGTTGTCAAACATAATGTTTCTTATTTGTCCCATAAATCCATCGTTTAAAAGGAACTCCTGGATCAAGTATTGGGAGAAGTTTGCTTTTGTGGAGGACAGGACTTTTTTGATGGAACTAACCCACATTTACGTTACATGGAGAGGAAAATAACGAAAACCTCCAACGGTCAGTCTGAAGGCAAGGGGACTCTAACCCATAATCCGTCTACCACTGAGGATATTTTACGTCATCAGCACTGTGGTCTGTGCAAACCAGATGCGGAATTCTTATCAACCAGTCAACGGTGGAAATTAATTAGAAGATAAATCAAATATTTTTAAAAAAATATTCAAGGAATTGCCTTAATTTACAGCAGAGAAGTAAATGGCTATTTAAAAAAAATAACATCAAACAGGATACACCAGTTTTTGTTAAGGAAGATAAGCAGCTTATTTATTCGCGGATTATTGAACATATCCAAGATGTAATTGAAGAGATGGATGATAAAAGTAGCGTGGTTATAGTGGAAATCACACAAGATATTTTTAAACGAAGCATATCAAATATAAATGTTTGACCTACTAATGATCCTACTATTTAGTCTTACATTCCTATTTTCTTTATTATCATTGTGTATATTTTAAATTGAAATTGAAATTTGTAATTTGAATTTAATTTACTTATGCAATTTAGTATTATTGTTATTTGGTTATTTTGTCCCTTATTTGAAATTTGTTATCATTTGCATTTGGAAATTCTCAATATCTTTTATTGTATTTTATTTCTGAAATGGACATTTCAAGAATAATGTATATTTGTGTATGTTTTCATCCTTGCTTGGGCGTAATGAACGCAGTGTTCGTTTTATATTCGAAAGCTTTGGCTTAATGGCGTTACACATTTGCTTAAAATAAATTTTTTTTTAGTAGTTACTTGTTTTAATTTTCTCACAGTCCACTTAATCGACGACCATAACAATTATATCATTGTTCTCTGTTATATTTGTTTGATTCAGGTTAAACAGATTTTGCTTCACAATAAAATTTATTAGTGTATTTAATTAACCATCTAAACTAAAGTTAGAAAATATATTTTTCTAACTTTAGTTTAGATGGTTAATTAAATACACTAATAAATTTTATTTTATTTTTGTGCATACGTAAAACTTACCTTGTTCTAATTTACTATAATCCTAACTACTTTTCAAAATCTTTACTGATTTTTTTTTATTTATTATTTCGTCATTATATTATTTGTTATATTATTTGTTATTCTATTTGCATTCTTATATTAAATGGTATTTTTCAAAGTTTTTTTTATTAAAGAAAATTTTGAACTTTCTACATACAACGAATAATAATTGAGAAGCTGATGGCTGAAAACTTTATAATTTTACTTGGATGTGAAAAAGTATTGAAGCATTTTAGAGGATTTAAAATTAATCAGCTTATATTTTTAATTTATCAAGTATTTAAAATTCTTTAAACGTAACATTTTAAAATCAATTTACATACTATTTTTAAACACTATTCCAAGTTTTCAAGAGAAAGACTTTAATCTCTTCTTATTTCAATTAAAAAGTTATTGGTGTAATCCATGAATATGGTGGACGTTTTTCAGAAGTCATGTTCTCATTGAATCATTCATAAAGAAACATTCGATTTTTTAGACTTTTGAAATAACATGTATATTTTTAAATTCAATGTAAAATTGAATGGCATTAAAATTTGTTTTTCAGTTAGTTGATTATGCTAACAAACAATGGGCGGGACTTATGTCGCAGTAAGTAATGTTATAAATTTTATTTCATTACGTTTTTTTTTTAAAGTAAGCTTCACATTAAGTTACAAATTTTGCTTAGCTTTAAAATCAAATAGATTTTGACCTATTTGGTTGTCTTTTATCTAAAAATGGAAGAAACATAAGGATCTATATTTCATAAAATGATTCTTAGATTAGGTACTTTAAGATGTATGTGGACAATGCTGCACTCCCAACTCTATGGCAATATTGCTGTGGAGGCCAATTTCTCTTGCAGCTCGTCACACATCGAGGCTTGCACAGACAAAATGGGTGCTCTAAAACTGCCTTCTCAGAGCCCCGATTTAAATCGTTGGGACCAATTAGAGCTCAGATTACGTATATAGCCAGCCAAATCGACCCTCCTCAATGTAAGCACTCAATTCAGCGGTGATGGTAACCTGAAAGTCAATTTCTATGTGTCACCTATCAAAAACTGGTGAAAAGTCTTCCCAGACGTGTTCATTTTGTCATTGATGCAAAAGGGGACCAACATCATATTAATATGTGCCTTAAGGCGCTATTAGTCCATACCACAGGGTGTCGGGATACTTTTGACAAGATAGTGTATAATGTTATCTTCTTATCTTAGTAATTTTGAGCCTCTAAAAGATTAAGCAACTTCTAGATCAAGCAACAAACAAGGAGCAAATTTGCTATCATTAATCACTTAGTCTGTGAAGTTAGCTCTTATAACGAGAATAAAATCACGAAAACCACCCTTTATTAGCTTAATGCTAAGAGAACTTTAACCGATCTGGCGGGCCAGGATAGCCTGGTCTGTAGGGCGCTGGGCCCATGTCCGAGTATTTGTGGGTTCGATCCCCGCCGGCCGAAGACTCCCCGTGTACTAAATGGTGACTGATGCACGTTAAAATTCTGTCGAGTCGCAAAGTCCTCCATGTTCCCATAACAAATCAACACCTCTGGGGGTACAGAATTGAAGATCGATCGTTCTCTGATTCAGATCAAAATTACGATCTGCGGATGAATGACTGAATGTATGAATGGGTCCGCCCTATAAACAGGTGCGATGTATGGTGCATCAGAAGTCGAATTCTTGGCCATAGATGGCGCCACTGAAAAACAAGAACAATCGCACCCCTTCTGCCTAAACAGGCATACGTCAACAACAACAACAACAATCAATCTGGTTGGAATTGAATTTATTGAGCGTGAAATACGCTTTCTAGAAAAATTCAGCTTCAAAATATCAATTTTATTAATGCATACATCATTTCAATATAAACATAAATCAACTAATGCTGGAAATGTAATAAAACTTATCCAAATGAATTTTCTTTGAGTTTTATAAAAATATTTTTTTTAAATTAAAAATACTTTTAGAAAATTTATCAATTTTTGTTAAAACAATTATTTTTGTTTTTACATGCGCTTTTATTTAATAGGCAATTCATTTTCAATAATGTCTGAAATAATAATAGCATTAGGATAATTAATGTTTCATTTGTAAGAAGATATTTGACTTCAAAAGACCAAATAATAAGAAACATTCACATGCTGAAACCAAATTTAACAAGAGTAATACACGTCATCGCATTTTATATAATTATCTTGGACTTTTATTCATTTTTGATTTTATTCAACATATCACATTGATTTAGTTAAAATAGTTACGAATATACCTTACTAACATATTGAATTCCTATTATCATTTTTAAGATAAAATTTAGTTCTTCATTTCCATTAGTTTTAAAAACATGAATTGCTTCTTAATTGTAATTCAATCTGTAAATTGGATACATTTTTGCATCCAATCTATATAATGAAGAATAACAAAATAATTGAAGAATAACAAAAATAAATAGATAAAAGTTTTGGGAATGAATTCAGAAGCACTCAGGTTTTCAAGTATTAAATAGCTTCTAGCATTAGCAAAAATAAAGATAATACAGGGTAAGTCAAAATGAATGTAGCGATTACAAACAGCTATATAATTATTTAATGAAAAAGAATTTATCGATAAAATTTACATAGAATGAAGAAGGAACTTCAGCATTTTGTATACATGAATCACAAATTTTCTATGTGACTTCCCTTGGTCACACGGACAGGGACAACATCTAGGCGGTAATCCATTTCACGCAATACATTCTGAAACATTTGTTCAGTCACCAAAGCAAGCGCAATACAAATGCGTTATTTGAGTTCTTCAATGGAGAATTACAGCATCTCTTAAATTTTTTTTCAAGCCGAATTTTTGAAAATTCTCTCCTGAAACTGAAAATCTGATTGTTTTTTTCAACAAATGTTAATTTATTTAGTTATTAAAATTTAAATTGCACAAAAAGGCCTCCGTAAGTGATGCAATCAAAACCGATGCCTGGTTGGTTATGGCGTCACATGTGCTGAATGGAAACGTGTCGCCTCCATCCGTTACGGCTATTTCAAGGCTCTTTTAGTTTTGATATCACTTATATCTTATATCGTATGAACACCCTTTGTAAATTATTAATAAAATTGCTGTGAATTAAATTTACGGTTTTGAGACTGTATGTAAAATGATGTTGTTGTTAATTTACGTCGCACTAGAGCTGCACAATGGGCTATTGGCGACGGTCTGGGAAACATCCCGGAGGATGATCCGAAGACATGCCATCACAATTTTGATCCTCTGCGGAAGGGATGGCACCCCCGCTTCGGTAGCCCGACGACCTGCGCGCGAAGTCGAGCACTTAACGGTAGCACAGTTTAACGAGGACCAATACCGCACACCCTCGGTCCCTACGCAGACTGATCCAAGTGGTCACCCACCCGCACACTGACCGTAGCCAGTGATGCTTGACTTCGGTGATCTGCTGGGAACCGTGTCCTAACGATCAGTCCACTGCGGGACGTATGTAAAATGAAAAAAAGTTTTTAAAAGTTCAAACTGTGTTATTTATCACTAAAATATCTGAATAAATTATTATGCAGCTCTTTACAGCGAATCAACATTTCTTTTCGGCTCAGATTGGATAGAAATAGTATGCATTGAGACATAGGATGGATGATTTTATTATTCAGTATTGCATTAAAACAAATCAGTATTTTCATATATCTAGTTTATTGAAAAATATCAATCCATCATCGATACAATCTATGCTCTCATGTTCAAGAATTCAAACAATGCAATTTAATTTTGCTTCTTTCATTTCTTTATTTTCTTATTCATTACTAGTTTTAAAGGATATTCTTTTTAAGGAAATATTTACTAATGCAGTTTATGTCATCTTTTTTTACTATTTATTAAATATTTGAATACAGGTTAACGCTTATATTTATTATTCTTTGAATAAATAGGAATTTCGCTACAGTTAGAAATTATTCTTAAATTTAGAAATTTTAATTCCTTTTTCTGCAATATAGTATTTACAAAGTATGGTTATTGTTGATTTCCCTTCTTATTTTTGCAAACTATTTGTCAGTGCTTGCAACTAAGAATTCTAAAATAGTAAAATTTATGCCTTTTACATTTTTAATAAAAATATTTTTAATTACAATAGTTGAAAAAATTTCAGGTTAAGCATTAAGCATTTAGACAAATAGGAATTTGCATATTACTTTATTTTGGTATATTCTTTTTCCCTTTTGGTCGTTTCACTGAGACTCCGTACAGAATTATATAACACATTGGAATAAAAAAAAGGAAGGAAAGCATTCCCTTTGTATAAACGTTCACGTTAAAATAATAGCTGCTGTTTTGAGAAAAGACTTCTCCAACCCATAAACATTTGAGTTTCCTAACCTTAATTGTCTCAAATACATTTCAAGTCAAATTGATTTAACTTGAAATGGAAACAACTAATAAGCATAGAGATCTAAATACACAAATATTTCAACTTTTTTTATTGTTAGCGTAGTAACAAAACACTTGCAACAAAAAATATTAATTTCTGGATAAAAATGAAATATGATTTCTTCTCAGATATACTGGCATATGCAGAAATAACAAGTGCCTTATGCTTTGCTGAAATCTGATATATGTATATCCACTAAATAAATGCCAGATTGCAAAGTAGGAAAACAAAAGCACAAATTGAGATTGAGCCGTAACTAGAAGAGTTTTGTTTTAAAGTGCGTTCTTGCTGCATTACTGAAGTGCGTTTGATTTGTTAGTTACCAAGGATGATGAGTCCGAAAATGGATGTGCGCAAGGTAATATTATACTGGATAATTTAAAAAAGTTGACTATAAATAATTTTAGAAAATAGATATTTATTTAAGAAAAAAATATAAAATAAAAAAGAGAAAGAAACATGAATTGCCTGTTTTGCACATAATTTTAGCCACGGATTTGCCAGAAATGGATTTGCACATGGAAAAATTATATAAATTAACAAAGAAATCTTTTTAGTAAATAATTTTAGAAACGGATTTGCCCGAAATGGATTTGCACATGGAAAAATTAACAAAGAAAAAATTTTAGCAGATAATNAAGCCAACATATATTATATATATATACAGTTCCTGGAAATATTATTAAACGCACTATAAGATTCTATGTAAAATCTTAATTAACAGGTGATACCATAACAACTGTATTGTTTTTACGCGACTGAAACCGGTTTGTACTTACTTACGTTCGTGTATAAATTGGTGAAATTAGACGATGTATATTATGTGAATTCGACAATTGGATAAATTAGACGCTATATTACATAAATATAGAATATTTATTATATCAGGTATTATATTATAATAATTAGACCAAATTATTCGATGCACTGTAGTGTTTTAATAATTGCATGTTTTGCACAAGTTTATGATCAAATCTCTTATATTTAAACATAATCAAAATGGGTTTTTGTGGAGGAGATTCTTTATATACTTTCCATTTGTATTAATTTTTAACCTATTGCATTACAATGTTAACCAATTAATACACGAACATAAACAAGTGTAAACTTGTTTTAGCCGTGTCAAAACACTCAAGCTGTAGAGCATCGCCTGATAATAAACATTTTACATAGAATCTTACAAAGCGTCTAATAATTAATTAGGAATAAATAATATTTCTGAATATGGTAATATTACTAATATTACTGAATTATAAGGAAATAAATAATATTACTGAAAGAATGTAGTATGAGACATTCAAAAAATTTTTTAAGTAATGATGGTACAATTTCAGGTACTATAAAAAACGATGGAAACTATTTTTGGAAACTTTGCTGAACTGTCTCATAAATGGATGGCCATTCAATCAAACTGATTTTAATGAACAAGTTTATCGTCAAATTGAATATGAATTTGATCTAGGAACAGAAACTTATCCTGTTCAACCAAGTGGTATGATAATTATATGAAATAAACATCCACGGATTCATATGCCCTTTATTTAAATTATTGATGAGTAATAGCTTTTTGTGGTACAGAGTGATTTTTAAACAACACCGTATGACCTTTTGGAAAGCGTTTGAGAGAAAGGAATAAAATTTTGTAAATACGTATGATATTATTTGCGCTCAAAAATGTTATAAGCCATGGCGCAATTTTCACGCATATAATTACCGTAGCAATATTTTAAAATGACAACTACCACTTTTTTTTATTGAAACGCAATTCTTAGTATAAAAAATTGAAATAGAGTTGGAGCGATAGTTTTATCAAAAGAAATTCAAATTTAGCTATTTTTATGACAATTAACAAGAAGAGATTGTGATAAAAACTTAAAACCCCCTCTCTCTCTCTTTCTCTCTCTCTCCTAGTGCAAAAAACCCTAAATAACTTTCGATTTAATGATCGGATCTTCACGTTGTGTGATTCAATCTTAATGATTTAAGATGGTGACCTTAAATATGCTAATTAATTAGAGCAGAGGATATTTTAAATTACGAAATCATACACAAAAACATACTTTCTCTTAATAAAAATACCTTTTTTCGACGAATTCGTATTTCTGATCTTACTTTTTGCTTATTTCCCCATAATCTCGAGAACTTTTTAAGCGAATTAAATAAATTTTGCAAACAATTATAAAATTTGTTCATTCAAACATTTCATGCAAAATATAACTTTTAGTAAATATTTATTATTTTATTTAATAATAGTCGAAAAATTTTGAATTGAAAGGTACACAAATTTTTACGTCATTTCAAAATATCCAATTTTATATAATGTTACGGTGGTTTACAGACACAAAACTACTACTTATCAATTTAACCTGTGATCGTTTTATTTTATGCATATATTGTCGAATTAATTTACATACTTCAACTATTTAAAATAAATTAGATTAATAACACTTTAATCAAATACAAATTTAAATAACAAATTAAACTAATTAAAAGGCTTTAATTAGTAACAAATAAACTAATTGGCATGGAGAGAACTTACCCATACTGATGTTCATATTGGAAGTTGGTGAACCTCAAAATGACTCGGTTCTACTCTCTCTACTCTTACTGCTACTGTTTTTGTTGATCTTTTATACTAAACTTTTTGCAAGATAAAACTATTGCTAAATTCTGGAAAGGTCACACAAGAGATCAAACTTGGACTATAGACTTCTGATTAACCCTTTCCGACACGTATTTCTTAACTTTAATCAAGAGAGTTTATTTGTATTTGCTTAAGTTCTATGTACTAATGGAAGTTTCCACAGTATTTTAAATCTAATCAATTATTTTGCAATTTACGATAAATCTATTTTAAATGTTTTATTGTGATTCTGAATTAAGTGACGATAAGCGTCACAATAACAAAATACAAAATTTTAGCGAAATCGGTCGAATAGTCCGAAATTGGTCGTATAGAAATTGAACTTTAAAAATACGACTTTTTCAAAATTTCATATTTCTCAGGAACTATTTGACTGATTTCCCTCAGATTTTGTGTTTTGCCATCTACAATTGCCCTCTTTAAAATGATGTAAAAATTTTTACACCTTATACTTCAAAGCTTTTCGACTTTTATTAAATAAAATAATAAAAAGTAACAAATATTTGCTAAAAGTTCTATTTTTATTTTGAAATATCTGCAAATAAATGAATTTTATAATTATCTGCAAAAATTTTCATTTGGATAAAACGTTCTCGAGATATAGAGAAACATTTTTAAATCCTTCCTGACCATTATGTTGAACCATTGGGTCCATATTTCCCAAAATGCAAGTGTGAAAGAAAGTGTGTTCATTCAGAGAACGAACTTTTTAGTGTCTGATTTTGTAACTTAAAATATCGTCTGCACAAATTAATTAGTACATTTGCGGTCACCTCCTCGAACCCTTAAGATTGAATAAATGAAGAACATCCCCCTCGAACCATTAAGATTGAGAAGATATTATTATTAGATCACAAGTTATTCAGGTTTTTTTTTATTTCGTGCATTGTATAACTCAATTAAGTGGATTCCTTTTAAGTTTTTACTCTCTATACGTCAGAAAAAAGTAAGTTCAAAAAATTAATGTTAGTTATAATGGCACAATATGTAGAAAAAAATACTATACAGAAAGACAACACAGTTTTTTTTTTCATATCAATCATATTTAAACCGTATCATCAAATTTAAACCGTATTCACTGAGCTATTTACCCAATAGTATTAATAAAAGTGTTTATTCCTTTAGTAATATTAGTATTTTTTATTTAAGAAATATTTTCTTCCGGCATCAAATGTTTGTTACATTGAATATCAATTGCTGAATTTTATCATAACATTCTTGAATTCATATCTTAGGTGAACCTGTTGAAATTTCAAAGAAGTTGTTTCTCAAGTATGAAAATATTTTGAGCAATTTATAAAGACCATGTCATCTCAAAGTCTCTGGAATACCTCCTCAAATTACAAAAAGAAAACTGCAATGATTCTTTTCTTGAATAAAATCATAATAACTTTGTTTCATTTATATATTTTTCAAAGAATACTGTGAAAAACACCACATAATTGTATTTTGCATTATAGATTCAAATAATTATTGATATACAGATCTTAAAAGATGAGGGTTCATGAACAACTTACAGTAGAGAACTTTTCTCCTGAACAACTTCAGGTCTGTCCCCCTAAAACCAAATTTTATCATGAACGACTAGACAAAGCTAGAAATGAGTATTTAATAAAATTTAAATGCGTATTTGAAATGCGCAACTCAAATTTAACAAATTAACTTTATTTAAACCATAATAATTATGAGGAAAAATCTAGCGGAAAATTGCTGAGACGTCCGCAGAATGGAGTTCTAAAACGGACTATTATAAATTATGAGAAGTATTATTTTAACGCTATTATGAAAACCTCATAAAATTTGATTGGTGCAAATGGACGATATCACGTAGTAAATATATTTGGGTTCATTAGTTTATTCTTTAAATAAAGAACTCCTAAATAAAAGGTTAAAATACGAAATTCTATGTCCGTCCGTTTACAAGCATTTTGCTGCGTCCATTTTCATAAGCACGCAGTTTGAGCTGATTGAGCCAGCGTTTTATGTATAATTTTCCGCTAAGGAAAAGTCACACTGAGGCAAAGCAATAACTTTAAAATAAATTATCTTGGTTTGAGTAAGATTTTTTTTCACATTGATTTAAAATTTTCATAATCAATCCAATCCATTTTTACAAGCTTGTCTGAGTTCAGTGTTGGAGCAACTTTTTTACTTAACAAATCTTTTCAAACCAGTGAAAAATCTTCAAATAAATTAAATCAAGAAAAATAAATAAATAAAATAGTTTGGTTTCAAACAACGTCATATCAATAGAAATATGCTTACATATTTAAATTTGAAAATTGATATTTTATTCAAACTTATTAACTTCAAAGATCTCTTTAGTAAATTTAAAATACTTTTTTAAAATTTTTACTCCTATACTGCATAGATATAATGCCCCATATTTCCTTTTAATATTAAAATATTACATAGAAACTCGGTCAGATATAGATTGTAAAATAATGTGCTAGCATACCAAAGAAAATAACTATAGAAAAATTAGGAGGTGAGACTTAATATTATGGTTCGCTCGAAAAACAGAAATTATTTAAAAAGGACACCCAGAGGAACCAGTAAAGTGGTATGAAACAATAGTCGAGAGAGTCCGTTAATCGAATACCGTCTGTTTTGAAAAATTATACTTAAGAAAAATAATACTTTTTATTTATTTTACAATAATGTAATAATATTCCTTTAATTTTTTTAAATTTATATGGATGGTGTTTTCAGTAGAAATGTAAGCAATAACAATCTCGAGCTCGGGACCTACTCTAGTTCCAGTTAAAAAGTTTGCAGCTGCTTACTACATGTTATTCTGATAGGCGATGTTTTCAAACGGATAATTTTATTTTCAATAAAAGAAATAAATTAGATAATTTCTGAGCTCAAATCTGCCGTCTTTCATAAGATATCAATATTAATATGTAATTCTGGGGAGTTTGGAGTGAAAATGTGTTTTAGTTATTTTGTTAATTATTATTAAAAAAGGTGACATGGCTGCTAGATTTTGAATAACTCGCTTTTTTGGCAGTCTTGATTTGGCCTCTTTCCATTTGTTCATTACTGTTTGTTCGTGTTGCAAGCTGTGCGCCATCTTACGTTAGTGTTAACACCTTTAGTATTGTAAACACAAGTATTGTTAGCATTGTAAACATAAGTAATCAAATACATTGTTTGCAAGAATCTCAAAACACAATGATGCCAAATGGCTTTAAAATACAACTGAAACAGTAACCCGGAAATTTAGGCAGTCCCGAACTTGCAGCTTTCCCTAGTGTAGAAAACACCATCCATATTTATTTCTGTAGGTGCAGAATTATATCAGTAGGACAGAATTTAGTTTGACTATTTAAAAATATTTATTATTTCAAAAAAGTGTATTGATTGTATAAAAGAAGAAAATTAAATACAAAATTTCTTAAAAGGACTTTTTTTTTCAGCATGATTATTATTAAAAATTTATTGATTGATTATTTATTGTAATCAAAAATTACATATTCAGAGTTAATTTTTAAGCATCTTTGCTCACAACATTTTATAAAACATAAAGTAAATTAAATATGAAATTTCTTCAGTTTTTAAAATTTTTTTTAGTGTGTTTATTATTAAAATTCATTTATTGATTATTTACAGCAAAATTAAAAAAATATTTTAATTTAATGCAGTCTCATGCTGGGAACTAAACAAGACGAGGAATAGCATTCTTTCCGCCACTCACATTTACGCAATTTAATTGTATGTAGGTTGTTCTATAATTGCGAGTTCAACCTTTTTTTTAAGAATTCTTGACAAAAATGAAATGTAGAAATACTGCACATGTATTTGATTACTTATTACTTGTGTTTACGATGCTAACAATACTTGTGTTTACAATGCTAAAGGTGCTAACACTAACGTAAGATGGTGCACAGCTTGCAACAAGAACAAACAGTAATAAACTTATGGAAAGAAGCCATATCAAGACTGCCAAAAAAGCGAGTTATTCAAAATCTAGCAACCATGTCACCTCTTTTAACAATATATCTCTAAATAACTAAATCAAATTTTCACTTTAAACTCACTAGAATTACGTAATAACTTTAATATCTTATGAAATATGGCAGATTTGAACTCAGAAATCATTTAATTTATTTCTTTTATAGAAAACAAAATTATCGGTTTGAAAATATCGCCTAGCAAAATAAGCTGTAGTAAGCAGTTGCAAACTTTCTAACCGGAACTAGAGCAGGTATAGAGCTCGGGATTGTTATTGTCCATCCATTCATCATGTGGACAAATTTTAACTTCTCAAAAAACTGATACCTATCAAATTATTATGGTAATACACATTAAGTACATCAATACAAAATCAAGACTAAAAAATTATTCATTTTTTGTTAACTTCCTTACAACTACGGAGATAAGAAAATTACACAGAAGTAAACAGCAATTCAGGTATTTCAGCCGAGGATAGAGCTACATGGTTACACTTTTCGAAAATCCATTTGTGAGGAAAATAAGCACAGCCAAACATACTTTTGCGCATGCGCATTTATCGCAGCGCGTGTACGTAGAGACAAAAGTCTCAGGATCAAGAATATAAACAAACAAACCTAAACCTCTGTAAATAAATATAGCTCATTGCACCTCTAATGTTAAAGTTGTCTTTCTATATTAGTAAATTTAAACACAAAAATAGCAGGGAACGGGTTCCTATGTGATCTTTTAAAGATGTATTCAGCACGCTAGATATATGAACATTACTCTCGGATATTTTATAAAAGAATAGTGTACCAGATGACTGGAACTATAAATATTCCGATCAAAACTCTCCTGCTTCACATATCCAGTAAGTTATTGAGATAATTACCATACATCAAATTATGTTTTCAATTATGCCTAATAAGTGTAATTTTTTAATAGATGTTATAAATGCGTGCGATTTATCATCAGTGACACCTTCCAGAGTGAAGCAGTACTTGAAGTATAGATTTAAAAATGCATTACCCAGGTAAGTTTTATCTCTCTAAATATATCTTATTTCCAACGCATTGGGTAGGTAGGTAAGTACTTTATTTACGTTCAACTAGAGCTGCATAATGGGCTATTGGGGACGGTCAGAGAAACATCCCTGAGGATTATCCAAAGACATGCCATTGCAATTTTGATTTTGATCCTCTGTAGAGGGATGGCTCCCCTGCTTTGATAGCCCAATGACCTGCTCGCGAAGTCAAGCACTTTACTGTAGAACAGTTTAACGAGGACCAAAACTGCGAACCCTTGGTCACTACGCAGGCTGATCGAAGTGGCCACTCTTCCGCTTACTGACTGCAGTCCATGATGCTTAACTTCAGTGTTTTACTGCCCACGCATTTGGGATATTGATCTTTTGGTTGTGGTACAAAAAATAGAAGATGACAATGGATATTTTCATATCGTGATCTGTCGTGCCAACTGCAATTGCTAAGTTGCCAAATAGATTCTAAACTTGCAAATTTTAAAAAAAAAAAACATGTAGATGTTTGCCTGGGAGTGACTACGAGTTATACCTTACCAGTTGGTCCGTTTTTGTGATGGGGTGTTTTTTTAGTTTCTCGTGGGCCGCTGCCTGGAAGGGATTGCCAAGACTTGGCAATTATTTTGCCACAGATACAGAAATCTCCCCAGAAACCTGACACTGTAATGCTTTTATGCGTAAAATAAGTCTCCGAATTGGAATTCACACATTTACAGAAAAGTGATATAATAAGCTCATGGAAAGGCTCTTAAGTTTTTGATTCTGGTTTCTGAGACATTGATTTTTCAATTCGACTATTGATATTTCCTTTCTGATCAGCAATTTCATCAAAACTCTTACATATTACTTTCTTTCTCGGTAGTAAATGAATTAATGCTTTAATTATTTTACTGTGTAAGCTTTCTTAGATAATAAATTAAACAAAAGCATTTTGCTCTAAGCAAGATGGATATTTGATTTAAAATTACGTTATGTTGAACCCCGGAAAGTTCTAAACTAATCTGTAGTTGCAAAAAAATTTGTAAGTTTAAATTATAAATTAGAGCTAATCAATTTCAAATCATAATTAAATTGAATATCTAGTAACCAAAATTGTGCTTAAGTGACTATTTTATTTAAATCCCATAATTTTAGCAGAGGCCCATGTTCGCTGCGGCTCGCCAGCCCCCATAATTACTTCACAATCATCATATTTCTCTGTGAGAAACAGATTATTTTTCTAGATCTGAAGGCATTCACTTGATATATATATATATATCCTTTGTTAACTAATTTATTCTCTTTGACGCCACTTTCGTAAAATTATTTACATTTTCTTACATTACAAATTTAGTGAATTTTGCTGATATTGATTGATAATTTTGTTTATTTAAATACCTTAAAATAGTCTTACTGCATGCATTGCAACCTCATCCATTACAACTTTTTAAATAAATCGAACATTTTATAGTTTTAAACTAAAAAAGATATTTGTACTAAAATGTAATTGATTGAGCTTTACCAATTTGCATGAGCTAAAACATTAACTAATTAAATACAAATAGAGCATAATCCCAGCTTTTTGATTATTCAAAAAAGGTAAATAATCCGAATAAGCATTTGTCTACGAATTTAGTATAATTTTTAAGGAAACAAATCCTTTTATAACAATTATAAACTTTTCTTGGATTATTTAAGTGTTTTTCTTTCAAAACAATTTGTGCATTAATTTCAAAATATCACATATTATGTAGCCCTTAATTGTAATTTTAATGTCAAAGGAGAATTCACTATAAAGGGTAAAAAAAATCTCCAAATTGACTGTAATAGATTTTTTTCTTTTCTGCAGAATATTATCATTTGAGAATACAGTAAGGAACCGATTATCCAGAACGATCCGGACCATCGTTATTCCGAATAACTGATTTTTCCGGTTTTCTGAATCGCTACAAAAAGCCGTTTTTTTTATTGTTAAACCCAACTAAAAAAAAAATATTTGGAAATAATCTTAAAAAGAAGAAAAAACGATGAAGTAATACACTAATGATTATTTCCAAAATGATGGTAAGGTAAACATCTTTCAAAAAAGAAAGAAAAATCCTAAAATCTTATGAGGAAAAAAAAATTTTTTTTTTAAAAAAAAATGCTGGGAAATTTTATCGAATTTCGTTCCGGTTTTCTGATTTCCGGATAACGGGTTCTGTACTGTATATTATTTGAAATGTGATGGATAATCTTAACCTGCTACAAAATAGTAGACAAGGCTGTGGCCTGTTCTGAAATAACAGCCTGGGACAAAAAACCATCTTTTCTGAAATACTAGCTTGTGATAAAATAACAGGCTGTTATGATATAACATGTTTAAAATATTAGGTGGTTGTTTTAGTAATTGGTTGTTAAAACAGAAGTACATAGCATTGGAGGGGGGGCTGAGGCTTGCATGTGTCAATCTATTATTTACAGAAATTTAAAACATTTTTTATGTTATTTCTTTTTTTGACCCTAGAAAGGTTATTTGTTTTTTAAGAAATTTAAGATTCCTTATATGTATTTTAGCATTATAATTGCATAATTATCCTTTTCTTATGAATAAAATTTTAAAAAGCCATTTAATGATTTAATTCAAACTTAATCATTTCAATGAAACAAAAGTTAAGTACTATTATCAATTTATAATTGGAATTAGTTATTTATTGAAGTTTATGGACCAACAACATTTTTTATTGGAATTAAATTTTATATATTCTACTACCACTTTTTTATTTTTAAGACTATTAAAACACAAAAATTAAGGCTTGCCATTATTTCACATACGTTATAAAACTTATCGTATCCCCTGTGAGAATATTTTAAAAAAAATTTAAACTCTATAAATTGCTTTTAATTTTAAAAATATCACATTTATACCTACAGGAAAGAAAAAAAGTTTCTACTTTGAATAAGTAATGTTCTAATGATCGGATTTTCATGTATTAAGTGTTATCTCGATAAGTTCAATTCTTTGACTAAACCGATCTTCTGTGCAATGAATTTGGATTTTTTGTTAGCGAAAAGAGTGAATTTTGAGATATTGTTTCAAGAGTTGAGATAGAAGAAAGTTCGGAAGTTTAGGTCAGTTAATTGCATTTTTTGAGACTTTTAATTTCACATTGGCTTATTAATTTTACTTTTTACGTATTCCACATTATCTTAAGAAATTTTTAAATGAACTAAAAAAATAACTTTTTTTAAATTGTGGAGATCTAGAGTTGGAGACAAAATTCCATAAAAATGCCTAATGGTAGTAATATAAAAATCTTTAAACATAGCATGAGTTTTAATTTCAAACCATATAAGTACATACATGTACTCTAACTATAAACACTAGCAGATGCTTAAAATTTTCTGAAGGCTTATTAGTTGAAATATATAGCCTTAATATTCCATCGGCCCTTGTAAATGATCAGGCTTGTGGCATTTTTTTAAGTGAAGATCAGTTGAGCGCACGCTAATTATCATATATTATCCGTGTACCGTTAATCAGAACTCAAATACATGGCTGTTTGTGTGTCTAAAAAGACAAAAATTATTTGTAAAACCATTTCATTTTTAGCTTATTTTTAAAAGAAATAAATGTGTACAACTGACAAAACTTATTAACAGTTATATTCTAGCATAAGAAATAGTCTTGTATATTGTTTATAACTAGACAGGGGATTATATGCACTAAAAACGGACAAAATATGCACTAAAAAACTTGAATATATGCTCTTAAAACTAGAAATATGCATTTAAAATAGAAATTAAAAGTTCAACTTATTTAAATACTACTACTTACTTTTTCCAACAAACACAGCTAAAACATTTTTTTGTTAAAAGGAAGAAAATCAAAATATTTCTTACTTGAATCTACACATTTCTGAAGAAAAAGCCTAAAACTGAAGTATGATAAATGAGAGAAGAAAAATCATCGCATTTTCCGGAAAGATTTTATTAAACTGAATAATTTTTGTTGCAATACACAACTAAGTGTTTTTCCAAATTTTCAAGGGTGAATTGATGTCGTCGGTCATCAAAGATCATTTTGAAAGCAGAAAATGACCTCTCCACGTCAACCGATGTTATTGGACAAAACTTGTACAATTTCGTACTCATTGGTTTTACTTTCTCTGGAAGTTCAGTTCCGTTTCCATTAAGAAAATCATTTATCTTCTTCACTGCTGCAAAACCCGAATTTTTGTTTTGAACGAAACACCATTTTTCTTTTACTTTCTTCCCAACTGAGTCTGGAAGAGCATTGATGCACTGTTGAATTTTTTCAATTTCGGATATGGCCTCAGCCAGGGGAAGACCTCGTGTTTCGAGCTTCGTTATTGCTCCACTTAAGAAAGAAAAGTGAGTGTCAATTATGGCCAAGTCCTTCTGCAAAGAGATATCCTGTAGTAATTCTTTTGTGACATAAACTGAAGAAGCACAGGAACTGTCAATTGCATCTACAACTGACTTTATTGCATCAAAATTATTAGCGTAAAAACGTGCAGCTTCAATCCATGTACCCCACCTAGTTATCACAGGCTGTGGAGGTAAGGGCAAATCAGGATACATTTCTTTATACAATTTTATGCGCACAGGTGCCTTGAGAAAAACTTTCTTGATACTAGAAATTAAATCATTCACAGAGGAGAATACTTCTCGAACAGTCTCAGCCAGTCTGTGAACAGCATGAGCCAAACATGTAATATGAAGCATTCTGGGATAAAAAATTTCCAGTGCTGCTGCAGATTTGACCATATACGGAGCGGCATCACTGACAAAAATCAAAACATCTTCAGAACCATCTCTATCAGGCCATAATAATCTGATAGAATCATTGACAAACCTTGCTATGGTTGAATGATTGACTTTTTCAAGGGCTTTGCTTGCTAGAAGATGTGGTCGAGTAGGAATATTATCCATTTTTCCACAAATAAAATGAGCAATATAGCGACCGCACTTATCTGTCGTCTCATCGACTTCAATCCATATTAGGGCCATCTCCAATATCTCGTCGAATATCATCCAGTACTTCGTTATATATCGGTTGAAGGTAGTTCTTTCTTAAAGTCGATTCATCGGGAATGTTCTGATTGGTACAATATTTTTTTAAAAACTGTCTTAAGTTTGGAGTATTTAACTTTTTTAAAGGAATATTGCTGCTTGCCAAAGCTTTGCATAAATCACTAGAAAAATCACTTTCCTTTTTAGCTGCTTGAACAGGAATAGTTAATAAACTTTGAACAAATCCTTTTGTATTCTGCTTTTTCTTCGCGGAGTGACCATTAGTCTTTATATGTTGATCAATTTGGTACTTTTTCTCACAGGAAATGTGTTTTTGAAAAATCACACAAAATGCTATTTCCCCATCGGTCGTAAGGTCCTTCCCATAGTCCGAAATCCATGTCTTCATTAAATTTGATTTAGTCGACTTAATTTTTGGCATATTATAAAATTCAGCTGTCAAAAATCACGTTCGAAGCTTCACTAACTACGTATTCAACTGATGGATGTTGAAACTATCTATCTATTGGATGGACTATCGAAATATGTTAGAATAGCAGCTCTCTCCGAAAATGTATTCACTCCACCTTTTAACTAATCAATCACAGAAAAGGGAGGTCATTTTCTACCTACCACAGAAGCCTTATTTTTCCCACACAGGTTGACAATTATTTATTCCAGGAAAAGACATCCCTTCATAGAATATCTGACCATCCCTTTCTGAGGTTTCTATGACGAATGTCTGTGTGGGTGGGCCCTTTGTACCCCCCTTCCCGGCATACACCTCATATCTACATCTTTTTCACGTGATTGCAATCACCCCCAGCAACATCAATCCAGCTGACCCTTTCAGGTGATAAAGAACGACAAAACAAAATTTAAAGCGTTCCTTATGCTAACATAAAAGGAGTAGTGATATGGTTTTAGGAGGGAAAAGCCATAAAATGCTGAAAATATGCATTTGTAAGAGCAAATATACCTTTTTATGCATTTATATGCACAAATGGCAAAAAGTGCTAAAATATGCAATTGCATATGCACGTATGCAATTGCATATTATCCACTGTCTATTTATAACATTTAATAAGTCTTGATAGTCAGGGTTCTTTATTTTTACCAAAGAAACCTGCTTTTTCTCTTTTTATGGGGCAAAAACAGTCCTCTTTAAGTTTTTGATGATATTGCAATTTATATCCAATACATTTTTTATCTTTGATAGCTAAACGATAGAATTTGTTATCACATTTTCCAAGCAGTTTATTGATGGTTCCAGAATATGACATTGACACAGTCATTGAATCATCTAAAATTGAAAAAAATGGTATTTTAGTGACAATTAAATTTGTGGGTTATTTACCTATTGATGATTTAAACCTATTTTTAACAGTCTTATAATACTAATTGGGGTTGTTTAACTTTTAAAAATAGAATTTAAGAAAATTATTAACGAACGAATTAAATACAAAAAAAAATAAGAAAGAAAATGGAATATCCCTTTAGAAGGATATAAAATATTTAACTATAATTACTGGCCAAACATACTAGTGAAGGTACTAAATTTTGTGTTGTTAAAAATTAGTTCAAGTTATTAAGAAATTTACTAAAAAACGGAATTAACATTATCTGAAAATGCTGAAAGGGAATGAATTGAAAATTAGAGTAAAAACATGAGACAGATAAGAAAAATATTGCAGATTAAAAATAAAACTCGCCATATTTTTATTTCACACGTTCCACATCTTATTTAATACTAAACATACCGTAGTCGGTCTTCTGATCAGTTTTCTTATGTTATATTGCATTTCAAAATGTTGGTATGTTTAGTGTTAAAAGGTTTGGACATTATTAAATATTTAAATTGTACACACATTTCATTAACAAACCATAAATGTGCTAATTCAATTATGATGACCAAAGATTGAGAATAGTTTATTCAAAAACAAAATTATGTTTTTTACTAGTTGCATTACCTTAATGCACATCAGGACACACCACCATGCCAGAATGAAAATTTTTTCACCTAGGGGAAAAAGGAAGACTCCTAGAATTACTAGGTGTTGTCATCACTTCAAGAAGGAATCTGTAGATACTCAGCCCAATGGTGTCACCGTGGTTAAAAAGTCTACTTTATTTTCGTGACCTATGGAGAGAGAGGGGGGGGGGGTATGGCAGTTGTGGTAAGATGGCTTCTGTGGGTGTTGGCTGTTTCTTTAAGATCAGTCCAAAGCATTTTCTTGCGTTTATGTTAAACAAAGTTTAACACCCCCATTCCTTCCTATACTTTGAACTGTTGCAACCAACCAGACTGCAACTGTTTCTTATAAAGAAACACAAACATTTCTCTAGATCTGATGTAGAGGAATCCTCTTTTCTCTGCAACTCATGGTGTCCAGTGTGTGTCATCTCTTGCTTATTAATGAAAATGACTCCTGCTGGACAAGTGGTTAAAACCTTTGGTGATTTTTACTTCTTCAGTGGGATTTGTTTTCTTCCGATAATTTTATGTTGAATGTGTATGTATCTACTACAAGACTCTTTAAGTCTTTTTATCATTCTTCACATTAAACTCGGGTCATTCCAATAGCTCTTCTCTTACTTATTTAAATTTTTAATTTATTGCATTTTTTTTTTTTTTGCAGTGAAGATGATTTAGATACTATCTTGAAAAATGTAATTAAAAGTGCTAAACTTAGCCAAGTTCTAAATGGTGGTTCTGTGCATTTTCGAGAAGTTAATTATGATAGCTTGGATACTTATGAGGCAAAACTTAAAGATACAACGGTGGAATATGAAACTGAAGTAAGTATGTTTCTTTTGTTTGCTTTGTCACCTTCACATTTGATAAATTTGAATTTGATTCTTAACAAAGGGAACAGTCTGAATTTACAGATTTATTCCATGGAAACTATGCAAAAAAAATTGAATTATAAATTCAGCCAGTTCAGAATTATAAATCAGTTTTAGGGGCTTGCTAACTGTTCAGGAACAATATTTGCTTTTGCACCACCTAACCTAAATATACTTGAAAGATGACTTGAAAGATGTTTAAAATTTATCAAAAGTTGTGTTAAAAACATACAGTGTATAATTACAATGCTGGATGTTGTCATATAGTAGATAAGACTGGTATAATACAGGAGCTTAGTTACAGACATAAAGTATAACACATACATGATCAATGAGTGTGTGAGTCAGCATTGAGAGTTACAGTTCATGATTTGTAGTTGGTAGTCATAGATTGGGATATGCCATAATTAGGAGGCTTGTATATAATGGTTAACATTAATTTTTGGTAGTCAATAATTGAATTGTACAAGGAATAAAGTCCTTTCAATTCTTTTAATTATCGAGGTAAGACTGTTAAAGAATTATTAGTTTACTGAATTAGTCAACCTTGTGGTTTTACGACTGACTGATAATGATTAGTTAGAAGATACTGCTCTTAATTAGAAAATACTGAATTGAACCCACAGACTGTTACTTAGCCTTTATTTCAGAAAAAATTATACAATAAGATTAATTCATTCAACTATATGCAGGATTTGAATTGAAATAAGGCCAGGATTTTGAAGCTTATTCGTAAGTTTGAAATTTACGCATTTATGTTTTTGATACACCCAATCTCAATCAATTTCGTTTACGTCCGCCTTTTTTTTTATATGGCTAACGCTACAGATTTAAACATAGTTTTGTAAATCCTAAAATTTTTAATACGCCATTATTACGATACACGAATTTCGAATTTTAATTATCACTTTTGACGTTCTTCAAGTATGCCAATTTCATCGTTATTCCAAAGAATTTTAAGTAGTTATTGCTACCCATTTTTACGAAATTTCTGAAATCACGATTTTGAAAGTTGCAAACGCTTTATTTGCGCAATTTTCATAGCAAATCTAAATGACTTTTGATCCTTTTTTCTGTAGTTACTGCTAAGCATTTCCTCATTGTTTTTAATCTTTAGATATTTTAACACTATATTATCGCGAGTAAGGATTTGCTAATTTAGATAGTCATTTTTTGACATGGTTTATTTGTGCCGATTTTATCGCGAATCAAATTATTTTTCAATCATTGTTTTGGAAATTATTGCTACACATTTCTACAAGGTTTTTAAAGTCTCAATATTTTTATTATACCCTATTGCGACACTTTAATTTTGAAACATGAATTTAAATAAATCACTTTTTGATGCGCTTTATTTACGTCGATTTCATTGTAAATATAAAAGAATTTTGATAGTTTTTTTGGTAGTTATTACTACGTTTTTCTCTGTGATTTAAAAAAATTCTGATATTTTACACACAATATTACAACTCATGAAACTCGATTCAGTTTTAATTTTTTTCTGTAACTTAAAAAGTAATTACATATCTTAGCAAAATCGACAACTTCCTGAAGAGAATTTTAAAAAACGAGATGCGTAAATTCATGTAAAACGCAGTCCCTTTTGCAAAAGAAATAATTCAAAACATGTGCAATTTTTTTTAGTCCCATGAACATGTGGAAGTTTAAAAACACACACTCAAACTAATCTTTTTATTGTCATATAATTTCAAAAACATATATCCCGATTCAAATTTCGCTTTTTAAAAATCATACAGTTTGATTCTTCTTGCAATTTAAAAGTCACACGTTAATTTTTATCTATGCGATATTAAAATTGCACATCACATTTCGTATTAACATTAGCGAGATTTAAAAATCATCCTGCTCGATTCGTATTCACGAGATTTAAAATCACATATCTCGATTTGTGTTCAGGTGTTAACAAAAATCATATGTTGTTCTTCTCGCAATTCAAGAATCATACACAGTGATGCATATTTAGGCGAATCGCGACTAATATTCACGCATTTTAAAAATCATGTGTTGTGAGTCTTCTCGCAATTTAAAAGCCACACATCTCTATTCGTATTCACGCTATTTGAAAACATGTTTCATGTTTTTTATTTGCGTAATTTAAAAATCACACATAAAAATTTGTATTCAAACAATTAAAAAATTACACATCGCTATTTGTATTCACTTCGGTTTAAAAATCAGGAAAGGAAAAACATTGGGACAGATTTCGAAACTGATGAAGTTATTTGCCATAAGTTTAATACTGCCTACAACAACAGTTTCTGTCAAAAAACAGTTTTCCGGAATGAATTTGGCCTGTTCAAAATTATAGAGCAGTCTTTAAGCAAAATCGTTTAAATTTTTATTTTATAACTTGAAAAAGCTATCACATGATCAAGTAGATAAAATTATCACAATATTTAAAAATATTGCAAATTACAGGATAACCATTAACAAATTTTTTAAACCATTTTCCTTCTTAGACCATTTCATGTAATTTATGATCATATGCTGGGAAATGATTTGTATATCATTAAATTTTAAAAAATTTAATCAAATTAAGTAATGCAAATTTTAAAAAAGTGTTGGTCGTAAAAAGTTGTAGAGAAGTATCTTAATAGTTTTTTTATTGCTAAGCAAAATAATTCCTTCAAAATTAATGTTTTTTTTCCCTTTTTCTTCCCTCTCCTAACTCCTGCCTCTTATAATTAATTTAAAATAAATGTTTTAAAGTTAAAGTATATTTCCTACTAAATGTTAATTCTTATTTTTCACTTAAGGGGTTTATTTTAATTTTAATAATTTTTAACCCTATAAACTTTCTTTAAATCAAAGTATTTTACTTTCAATTTTTTATAAAAACAAAAAAATTTATTTTTTTAAATTTAATTCTATGAACTAATTTTTTAATGTTAAAATTTATGTTTCAATAGACTTATATAATATGATAAAAAAACATGAATTTTTCCATAATTTTTAATTATTTTAATTTATCTAAATTTTATTTCTGATAAATTGATTCCGATTCTGTTTTTTTTTTTCTTCTAAGTAATCAGTTTTACAGCATCTCATTTTAAACATTTAAAAGTATTCAATTTTATGCAAAAATATTACAAGATTTACTGACAAAAAGAATTTAGTGCCTAGAACAATGATGTTTATATTACAATTACTACAGTACAGAACCCGTTATCCGGAAATCAAGAAACCGGAACGAAACTCGATAAATTATCTGCCATTTTTTAAAAAAATGATGTTTTCCTCATAAGATTTTGGGATTTTTCTTTTTATTTTGAAAGATGTTTACCTTACCATCATTTTGGAAATAATCATTAGTGTATTACTTCATCGTTTTTTCTTCTTTTTAAGATTATTTCTAAATATTTTTTTTTTAGTTGGGTTTAACAATAAAAAACAACGGCTTTTTGTAGCGATTCAGAAATCCGGAAAAATCAGTTATCCGGAATAGCGATGGTCCCGATCGTTCCGGATAATCGGTTCTCTACTCTACTATCAATTGCTGCCAACATGTGTGTCTAAATATTTTGGCATCCGGCCCTTCATTGGTCAATCTGCCCATTCTAGGCTCTAGCACAAATGTTTTTTGTTAGCTAAATCATTAGTTAAATTATAAACAGTTTGAACCTCAGTCCACAGATTCATCCTGGCTCAGAAATGTTTTTTGGACCGTTCACCTGTTTGTTTCCAACTTGTGGAACAATTGCTACCATTGCACCTGGACGTAGTCTTTCATTTGTTTGTTTTAACTGTTGACAAGTAGGCCATTATATTTGCCTGTGTCTTAAAAAAGAGCATAATAGATCTTAAGGAAATTGTTAGGCCTGGTTGCAAGAGAGAAGAACCTTGGCTGTTTTTGTATTTTCTTAATTTTTCATTTTGCAGTTTAATTCTGTTTATTTCACCACAGATAAAACTTTGGTGCTGTGGGTGTCAGCTAGAATTGTCATACGAGCAGGACAACTTCTTTGCGCCTGGACTTGATTATAGGAACGGAACTGAGCATAAGACTGTAGGATTCATATTATAAATAGGAAAGTTATTATAATTTTTAATATTTTATTTCAAGATTTTTTTTACTCCAATTTTAATAATTTATTTTGTGTAGTGCAGCATTTGCTTGGAGCTCTTACTTTGAGGTTAGACTTTTTACAAGTAGAACCAAATTCTTCATAAATTTTCTGATCTTTATACGATTCAACCAGACATAAAACTGACTGGAACTTAAAAGAAAAATCTTCAAATCAGTTTTAACATCCTGAAACTTTCCTTAGCTTGGCCTGTAGTTTGGGACGCTTTAAATTATGTGTTAGGTTGTTGTATTGCATCAGTATGATTTATATGACAACTTGTGCCATAAAAACTATCCATAACTTATAACTGAATAATCCTCCTAACTTTGTGTGGTAATAGGACTTATCCCCATGGTTTTAATTAGTTTTAAGCTATGTCCTTAAAACTGCAAATGTTCCATTAACTTTGAGGCAACCATTGATGTTTTTAAGAATAGATTTCACACAGTAATGTTGAAGCTGTCCAAGATGTAATCTAAAGATGCTAGAATGTTGCAGCTTGAGTATGGTGGAGAAGTTTTCATCATTAAACAAGAAGTATAATGTAAACCAGACTATCCCAGAAGCTCAAGTAACTGGAATTTTAAGATATTTATGCAAAAAATGTAATTTTTTATTATTTATTTTTTTTTTTTGAAAAAGAACAATTGGTGCATTCAAAAATTCACCACAAAATTGTCCATAAATGGCACATCTACATGAATTTAAACACAGAGTTGTGTCAAGGTCAGGTTTAAGTAGAATTTGAAATTTTTAGTAAAAGGAGAGGGAATTAATGGGAGAAAATATGATAAATTAAAAAAAAAAAAAAGAAATTTCTAAGATAGTGTTTTGATTACTGCGTATATGTAAAGCTTTTTTGGA